CAGAGCCCTTGGGCCACGTGGTATCAATTTGAACTCTGGAGGTGCTGGAGACTGAATAACTAAGGTCAGCCACGTGGGTGGTCAGACATGCCTGTGTAACTGACCTGGACCTCAGGGCTTGGCTGAACTTCCCTGGTTGGCAATACTCCGTAAGCACTGTCACACATCGTGGCTGGGAGAATTAAGCACTGTCCACTAGGAAAGGACAGCTGGAAGCTCACTTCTGGTCTCTCCTGGACTCCACCTTATGCACCTTTTCCCTTGCTGATTTTGGTCTGTGCCCTTTTGCTGTAATAACCTGTAATTGTGAGTATAATGCTTTTTCTGAGTTCTGTAGGGTTGTTCTAGAGAATCATTGAACCTAAGGATGGTCTTGGGAACCCTCAAACACAGGTCTCCAGAGGGCCACAGCAGCTGGGTTACAAGAGCAGTATGTACCAGGGGGTGGGTGCTATTGTTAGACCCATTTTACAGATGAGAGACTGGTGGCAGGCAGAATTCTAAGGTTTCCCCCCCGAGATTCTGGTTACTCAATCAAACACTAATCTAGGGACTGCTGTGAAGGTACTTTGCAGATGTAGTTAAAGTCCTGTCAAATGATCTTAAGATACAGAGACACAGGTGGGACTGACCCAATCAGGTGAGCCCTTTAAAAGCACAGAGTTTTCTCTGGCTGGTGGCAGGAGGGAAAGGCAGAGAGGGAACCTGATGAACCATTGCTAGTTTGAAGATGGAGGGGGCCGTATGCAAGGACTTGAGAGCAGCCTCTAGGAGCTGAAGGGGACCCCAGGAGCTGACCATCAACCATCAAGGAAACGGAGACCTCAGTCTTACAACCATTAGGAACTGAATTCTGCCAACAACCTGAATGATCTTGGAAGCAGATTCTTCCCCAGATCCTCCAGATAAGAGCCCAGCCCCCCTCTTAGGGGTTCATATGGGTATGTTCAAGCCCTAATCCCTAGTGCTGGTAAAGGTGACCTTGTTTGGAAACTGGGCCATTGCAGATGTAATTAGTTAAGATGAGATCATTAAGGTGGGCCCTACTTCAACATGACAGGTGTCTTTGTAAGAGGAGAAACACAGAGAGACAGAGAGAAGATCACCATGTGATGACAGAGGCACAAGCCAAGGAATGCCTGGGGCTACCAGAAGCTGGAAGACGCAAGGAAGGATCTTCTACAGCCTTCAGAGGGAGCGTGGCCCCATAGACACCCTGAATTCAGACTTCCAGCTGCCAGAACTAGAATAAATTTCTGTTGTTTTAAGCTACCCCGTTTGTGGTACTTTATTATGGCCACTCTAGGAAACTAATAACACTGGATTTGATTTTGGCCTTGTAAGACCCCAGGCAGAGAATGCAGTCAAACTCCTCCAGACTGCTGACCTACAGCCAGGACTGTGATCTAACCAATGGGTGTGTTTTAAGCTGCTAAGTTTGTGATAATTTGCTTCGCAGTATAGATAACACAGCACCTGAGGTGTGGAGAGGGAGGGGTCACCGTGAGGCTTACAGAGAGGAGAGGGTAGGTAGGAAATGTGACCCAGTGGAAGGTGACTCCTGACTTGATGACAAGGACACTGGTGCTCACCGTCTGCTTCCTCACCTCCCTGGGCTGGGACCTGAACCATCTGACCAGCTTCCACCACACTGATGAAGGAGACAGCCTGGGTGGGCAGAGCAACAAGGTGGCCGGAACCTGGGCCCAAATGGCGACATGCATGGTGCTGCCCGGCCACTCTGGGCTGCTTGCCTTGGCTTTGTTGCGTGAGAAAGAGAATTCCACAGTGTGCCAGTCCTTGTCCCACTTCAGCTGCCTCCTGAGTCTCAGTCTTGCTTCTTGCGCTTCCTCCATGCTCCCTTTAGTGCCTCCCTCGGCAATGTTTGCAAACATCTCACCTGCATGTCTCCTGGCCCTAAAACACCTGCC